TATATAAGTGTTAGCAATTATTATTATTATTATTATTATTATTATTATTATTATTACAGTGCCACACCACTCTCCATCCCTATTTAGTAAATAGGAATTCATTCTTCAGAATCTCAGCAAACCATTTAGAAATGCGAAGATTCTTTTTCAAATCCATCTTAACATCTTGGTTTACCTAAAACTGACATTCACACCCTTGTCATTGGTTTAAATTTGCGTGCTGCTCTCACTAGCTTAAGAACTAGGATTTGTCCTGAAAAGGGGGCTGCACTTAACAATCAGACCACAGGGGGGCAGCAATATCAGAAAATTATATATTGTTCTATTGCTTGCAGGAGAAGCATCTAATTGTTCTGTAAAAACATTTTTTCAACATTAAGAACATTAAATCAACATTAAGAACACAAATTCAAACAAGACCACCGGATCCAGTTTTAACAGGGGACAATTTTTGTGCAACCTGTTTCAGTATGGATAATAAGGAGTATTGTTCCCTATTTTAAAAAAAACTGCCTTCTCTTTTATATGAAAACATTTTCACAGACCACTTAATTACCCGTTCATTTCCAAGAAATGTTAAAAACAATGTTTCATTCTTAGCTCGCTTCATCTACTTCAGATTAAAAAATGGTTATATGTAATGTTCAATAACTGTTCAATGACTCCTGACATTATAAATAAACATATAATCAACTGAAAATAGAAGAAAAGAAGCACAACGTTTCAGCTGTGGAAGCCAAAACGTTGTGCTTCTTTTCTTCTCTTTACAGCATCGAATAAACCGCATGCTGATGCAGCTACCTTCTGGATATAATAAACATATAAGCTGTGCCATGATTAACATAAAAATGTAAAGATAAAAATTATTATTATAATAATATATACAGTTGCAAGAAAACATTTGTGAACCCTTTGAAATTACTTGGATTTCTGCATTAATTACTCATAAAAATGTGCTCTGATCTTCAACTAAGTCACAATAACAGACAAACAGTCTGCTTAAACTAATTACACACAAACAATTGTACTTCTTCTTGTCAGTACTGAACACATCGTTTAAACGTTCACAGTCTAAGTTGGAAAAAGTATGTGAACCTCTAGGCCAGTGGTTCT